CTACAACATTGTTCCCCCTGCAACAATGTTCTTAGTACTTGTGATGTGGATTTCCTTGTCTGACTCCTGTATACCTGCTCCTGTCTTGGATTTCTCAGCTTTGACCCATTGATATTGTCTTGACCTTGACTCTGCTGTTGAACCCTCAGCTTGATTTTCTGGCTCTGAATTCCTGCCACACTTCTGTCTTGCCTCTGCCTTGGGTGCTCCTGCTCTGCCTCCAGCCTTGCCCCTTCCCTGGATCCCAGTACTTCATTCCTGCTTATCCTGTTATATGTAATGAATTCCCTGGCTCCTTACCTCTAGCCTAGCCTTGACCACAGGCCTGCCTCAACTCCTGGAATGATATGTCAGTCAGACAGGTATTGCAAGCCTGGGCTTTAGCTTCTGAACTTTTGGTATTTTGACCTTTGGCTTCTGAACTCTAACCCCACACATCTGGTTGTACCCATGAGAATGATTTGGTAGTTTGGTTTTGGAATAAAAAAGAAAAGTTTAACAGCGTAATGTGAAATGTGAGGTTACATATGCATCTAATGTGTTCACTGTTTTTAATTCCTTTTTATCTCTTTATTCTAACTGCTGAAAAAATACAAATATATTGTTTTAGGAAGGCTACTGTTTCATATTGTGGTTCAGAGGCTTGTCCATGAAGAAAATGCAGGTATCATCTTTCCTCCTCTTTTACAGACCATCAAAAGTAGTCCTATATACCTGGTTATCTTACAAGTGCCCTGCTTATGTGGTCAGTTTCTGAACAGCTGGTCAAAAGTTTCCCTATATGTCTACATTATATAAAGGGTTAGTATAAGTGAGAGCAGTTCCAGAGTGCTTTATTTGCACTGTGCCTCCCATGATCGACTCTGGGTCTTGACAATGAAGAAGCAAATGCTGAGTACTGAATATACTAACATTGCTTCATGTTTTGAACTATACACTAAGCAGGAGAAAGCACAAAGAATCCTTGAACTGTACTGAATTGCCAAAAAAAAGTGTCAAAACATGAGAAAATGTCCTAGCACGAGAAGAAAATGCTGATGCATAGACATAACAGAAATAGGTGCACCGAAAGGCCAGAGGGCCCCAGGTTGAAAGAAAAGAACAAAATGGCATGTACAGCAAGGCCACAAACCCTCCCAGATGTGACAAGCTGACAAGAAAAACTTGAATTAAATTGAATCTACACTATGAGCAAGAGCAAATGACAATGCTGAGATTGACTTAGGGCAGCATGATGACTTCATGCTCTAGGAGGCCACTGGCTTAGAGCTTCAAAAGAGAAAAGCAAAACCAGACAATATATAAATTTTCATCAGAGACCAACTCAACAAAGAGTTAAAGCATAGAAAGTTATTTAGAGAGCAGACCCACTGGTGTTGAACTTGTGATGAGAGTTAGTGAGAAAATGAGCTCTTTCACTGGTCTGATAAGAAGGAATTGACAGGCAAGCATGACAGAGGCAAGTCCTGACACAAGAGGTTGGAGAGACAGACAACAGTTCTAATGCACACCAAGCCAGGACTAGCAAAGGTTGCTTCACTGAGTCACAGGCTCATTGGCACACTTTTGATTCTCCAGATGCATCCAGACAAGCAAGCATGTGCAGTATGCCGCACTGCAGGCCCATCTGCGGTTCCATACACTGCGCACACTGCTAATTTGCAGCGTGGGGGGAGCTGGGAGGTGTCCAACAATACCTGTGCCTAAAAAGAGCAGAGTGGTGCAAATGGTAGCAGCATGCACCACCTGAAACTGGAGCCTGGCTGGCCGGAGCCAAGCTCCGGATGCTGGCCAGGCTCCCTGCTGTCAGATCACCATGGCTGCAGCCCCCGAAGTTCTCCAGGACAGGCTGCAGGGATTAGCCCAGAGCTAGGGACAGACATTTAAAAAGCCTGACCCTGAATTGATTCATTCTTTGTAGGTTAGTCTAACCTGGCTAGGCTGAACTGGTTTGTAATCAAACAGACATCCCCTCTGGACTGAGGAAATGCCTGCACATGCCTACAGTGGCTCAGGCTAGAAGCCAGGGGATGCTAGAGCTGAGGGGGGGAGTGGCCAGGCCATGGCAGGATGCTCTGATTAGGGAGGGGTTCCCTCCCAACCCTTGCTGTTGATAACAGAGCATTTAGTTACACAGCAGGGAGTTGTTAGCATTTATCAGGCCATCAAACAAAACAACAGCCTCTCTTATTAGTTCAAGCTCCTCTTAAACAACTTTTTCCAAGAAAGGAATGGAGGGACCTTACCACCTACCTGTTGATTACCTCCAAAAAGCCCTAAACTGACATTGTCCTGTCTGTCTTTGTCCTCTCTCCCACAGCACAGACCGTAGCCAGCATGTGGTATGCTAGCTAATGCTGAGAAGTGTCTGTATAAGGCAGAGGGGAGGGGGATTCCTGCTTGAGCAGGGCATGGTGAGGGGAGGTGGGGGGCAGGAGGAAGCCAGGCAGATGCTGCTTTACCTACAGTCTCTGCAGCAGCTCCAGCCAGGAAGTCGAAGGGTGGGGCCAGCCTTGCTGGGCTGGACCAGAGAGCAGAGCCCTGCCCAGAGTTGCAAAGCATCTGGGATGCTGGGGGACTCTGGTTTAAACTAAACCAGGAAGGGGTCTGGAACAGACACTGCATAAACTGGTTTGACCCAAATCAGTTAAGGCTGATACTACATTCAAACAGGTTTATCTCAAATCGGTTTTAGCCATTTTCAAACTGGTTTATGTGTACTGAATATCTGTTCTGTTGCAGGTTTAAGTCAGTTTCTGATCACTTAAACCAGTTTATGGGTAATGTTTGTCCCTAGCCCAGGTGCCCCAGCCTCCCTTACCTCACCCAGGGCAGTATGCCATGCGCCCGAGCACATGTACATGGGCAGTCCCTGGGGACAAGTTGCAGCAGCACATATTGTGCCACTGCAGTTTGTCCCTGGGGAAATGCATGTTCCCACTCATGGGGATACACCTTGTGAGTTGACAAGAAAAGGTTTGAATAGGGTCTGACATCATTAAGAATGATTTCCAAAGGAGAAAAAGGATGGTTTTTCATTCTGAGATATAGGAAGGCTTCCTTTTAGTTTACTTGGAAGTGCTTTGAGTTTCTGAGTCCAATTTCATGTGAAGTGAGACTTACAAATAACGTAATGGATTATGTTCTTTGACTATTGAAAATAGCTTGAATGCATACAAGTGTTTCACTTCCCTAAATGATTTACAAACATAAATAAATAATTGAAATGCAGCCACTTCTGAAGTGGAACACAACAACCACACATGACAGCATTTGTAACCGCTTGCGATAAAACTGAATGGCAAGACACTGTACACAAGTAAAAACAGTGAATTTAGGTAGAGCTAAGGAACCATCTGTAGCACCTCCAATCTACAGAAAATACTTTGGCATCTTTAATGACCTCAATCATATGTTTAATTTGACAGGCAGCTCAGCTTGGACCACAGGGCCCTTTTTTGCATTATTAGGACACCGATATAATACTGTTTCAGTTGGCTTTATGTTGACCCAGATAGAACAGAGCCAGATACTGAACCATGAAGGCCACTTTCTGTAGTACCTTGAATTTGACTTAGATATTTCCCATCCAACTACTAGCCTTTTCTGACCTTGCTGCTTTGTAAGACATGACAAAAATCACAGCCCAAGGTGGTATAGCTGCAGTTCACTTAAAGGGTATGTCTGTCGGATCACCAGTTAAGAGCCAAACATCAAAACAGAAGTATATCTAAATGCTAGATCCTGAAGCCTATGATATTAAATACCATTTAATTCTCTTAACATTTAACTTTTAAAGTAAAATAATTTTTAAAGCAACAGTGCCACCCAGGGGTCAGTTAATTCCTGATGTGGAACCAAAACAACGGCCAAGCACTGATGAAAACTGTGATTGTTGCATTTAGAAGGACTTCCTCTCATACGATCCTACATAATCTGAACAGTGCAGCAGACTGGGATACAAAAATTTAAAATAATAATAAAAAAAATTATTTTCATCAGTCTTGAACAAAATAAAACGATAGTAGAGCGAAACCTGTAATAGGAGTGACTTTTTACATGGATTTTTTGTAGCCTTTCCAGATATGTATTTGATTGTGCTGGTATTTTCTGATTTCCCTTTTTCTGTAGGCCCTGATTCTGCAAAAACTTATCCCTAAAATTAAGAGTATGAGTCCCACTGAAATACATTGCCTTCTAAGAACTCATTTCCCCTTCTTTTAACTTGTTTTGAATTTAGGCCGATCTGCTCCATCTTTAGTTTGTACACAGCATTATTGTTCAAAATTGTACTTTTTCTGGATCTGTGAAGAACTGGAGAATAAATAGTGTCCTGTTATTAAAATTGTTTGGAATTTGTGTGCATAGCTTTAAACAGTTGAATTTCAAACTGTGTTTAGGAATAGAGTAATCATTTATATTTGAGTTCAAACAAAAGGCAACCCTTCAATTCTTGGAAGCCCCTCTCGCATGTGCAGACACAGTAGCCCATTTCTTTTAGGTTTTGAGTGCGGTTGTAACCCACACATGGGAGTGTGTGTTACAGGGGGCCCCTGTGCCAAGCCACCAAGTACATGAGCGGTTGCAGGTCCAGGTTATCTTAAAGCCTTGGCTCTTGAGACCAGTTCCCAGTCTCTCCGGATGCACAGCTCTAGGGTTACCATCTTTCCAGGTCTAAAACCAAGGGGGGAGCAGGAATCAAAGTGGGGTGCAAGTGCACGAGGACACCCGCAGCCCCCACGTGTAAGGGCTGGGAGCCTGGTTGAAGCCGCAGCCTCTGCCTCAGAGGCTGCTGTTGGAGCAGCTCGGCCTGTGAGCCAGGACAGCCACGTTACTGTGACAGGGGGATGCCCTGCCACGCCCCATGTTACATGCCCATGGCGAGGGGCCGCCCACAACTAGGCCCCGCTCAGCTCAGGCGGGACAGCCCCCCAGTCCCTGGAGGACTTTGGCCACCGAAATTCGGGCTAGAGCGGCTTGCAATCAGCGAGAGCCCAGCTAGAGCGCCGGCGCTGCCCTGCTCCGACCCCGCAACCACGCATGCGCGCAGTTTCGCTTCGCCCAACGTGTGGGGAGGGGTGCAAGGGGTTGGGGCTCGAGCCGGGTGCGGCCATCATGGCGCACGTGCTTAACGTCAACAATGAGGTGAGTGGCGCGCGGGCCGCCTCCCTCTCCCGCCCCCGCACGGGTCCTCCTTGCTCCACACCGCGCTGCGCCGGCGGGCTGTGCTGAGGGACGGTGCGGGGACAGACCCGCCTCCGCCCGTGTCGGGCACTGCACAGCGAGTGCGGCCCCCGTTTTGCACTGGGACGTTGAGGCTGGAGGCGCCTAGTCGCAGAAGCCTAGAATATGAGGGCTGGAGGGGACCTCGGGGTATCTGCCCAACCCCCTGCTCCAAACAGGACCAACCCCAGCGAGATCATCCCAGCCAGGGCTTTGTCGAGCAAGATCTTAAAAACCTCCAGGTGTGGAGACTCACCGTCTCTCTAGCTAATCTGTTGCAGTGTTTCACCGCCCTCCTAGTGAGAGAGTTTTTTCCTAATGTCCAGCCTAAACCTCCCTTGCTGCAACTTGAGACCATTCCTCCTTGTTCTGTTATTTGCCACCACTAAGAACAGTCTAGCTCCATCCTCTTCTGAACCACCCTTCAGGTAGTTGAAGGCTGCTGTCAAATCCCCTTAGTCTTCTCTTCTTCAGACTAAATAAGCCCAGTTCCCTTAGTCTCTCACCATGAGTCATGTGCCCCAGCCCCCTAACCATTTTCATTGCCCTCTGCTGGACTCGCTCCAATTTGTCCATATCTTTAGTGGGGGGCCCAGAACTGAACACAGTACTCCAGATGTGGCCTCACTAGTGTTGAACAGGGGGGAAGAATCACTTCCCTCCAGTCTGTTGGCACCACTCTCACTAATGCAGCCCAGGCTGCTGTTGGCTTTGTTTGCAACAAGGACACACTGTTGACTTGTATTCAGCTTAATGTCCAGCGTAAACCCCTCCCCTCCCCCAGTTTCATTTGTGCCCATCACCCTTTGTTCCCAACCTGTTTTTATATGTTTTGTTACTTGCGTCTTTGTTGTTTTTACTATAACGCTTGCTACTGCTGCTGACTGTTAACAAGTTATTTGCAGAGTTGAGTTTTCACTCCTGGGTTCTGTCCCCTCTGTCTGCATGAACACATTCAGACTGGCAGACTTTTCTTGTCTTCCTTTTATTTTTTCTGAACATCATTTTCTTACCATCCTTGACCAAGCTTCCACTTTGACTAAATTTGTGGCTGCTTTGCTCAGCTTTAACTAGTAAGTGGCATTTTAGCAAGCTCAGTTGCTTGCAGCACCTCACAAGAGTGGACACTGCCAGTTTTTATGGTTACAAACCCAGAGACTTCATAGAAGAATCCACGGTATCAGAAGCATTCTGTCCTGCTGTGGTCTCTCAGAGTTCTTTGCACCAGAAGAATTGCTCTGTTTGTCTATAGTCTAAAAGTGAATGAATACTAAGAGCTACCAGTTTCCTGGACTGGGGAAAGCTAGGGCAGAGCCACAGCCACAGTTCACTGCCTGCACACCCCTGTCCAGGAAGTGCAGGCAGCAGATCACAGCTCTGTACTGGCTTTCGCCCATGCTGTCACTGCTGCAAGATTCCAGTTCTGCCCCCCAGGCAGCTCTCCACTGAGCTATCCGCCCTGCCAGCACTGCTTGGGCCAGTCTCTGTGGAACCTTGGTCCTGTGCTGCCATGGCCCTCTGCTCCTGGGATCTCCATGGAAACTGTCTGCAGTGACATGGGCTGGGGCTGCTGGGAAATGGAGTCTGCCACAGGCCTGATCTGGCCTGCAGGCTGGGCATTGCCACCCCTGTAATGGATACTTTACTTTTATGCCTACAGAATAAGATGATGTTATATTCATCCAGTTATTCATATGTTTCTTGAATGCTGAAACAGCTTAAGTGCGTGGCATCTTTCATCTGCACAATATGCTTTGTACCTTAATTTTACTCCGCTTAACTACGTAGATACAAAACAATAAGCATGACTATTTTCATAGATTTCATAGACACTAGTGCTGGAAGGGACCTCGGAAGATCATTGAGTCCAGCCCCCCGCCCAAAGGGCAGGAAGTCAGCTGGGGTCATAGGATCCCAGCAAGATTAGCATCCAATTTACTCTTGAAGGTGTTCAATGTAGATGTTTGAACCACCTCCAATGGTAGGCTGTTCCAGACCTTGGGGGCTCGGACAGTAAAGAAATTCTTCCTTATGTCCAGCCTGAAATGGTCTTGCTGGAGTTTATGACCATTTGGCCTTGTCATCCCTTGGGGCACTCTGGTGAACAAATGTTCCCCCAGATACTGGTGGTCACCCCTGGTAAACTTATAGGTGGCCATCAGATCACCCCTGAGCCTGTGCTTTTCTAAGCTAAAGAGCCCCATGGCTCTCAGCCTGCCGTCGTAAGGTTTGTTATCCTGACCTCTGATCATGCACGTGTCTCTTCTCTGGACTCTGTCAAACTTCTCCACATCCTTTTTGAATTGTGGAGCCCAAAACTGAACACAGTACTCCAGCTGCAGCCTCACCAAGGCCGAGTACAAGGGGAGAATGACGTCCCGGGATTTGCTTGAGAAGCATCTATGGATGCAAGCCAGCGTTTTGGCCGCTTTAGTAGCTGCAGCATCGCATTGCAGGCTCATATTCATCTTGTGGTAAATGATGACTCCCAAGTCTCTTTCTTTTGTAGTGCTAGCCAGCATACCACTGCCAAGCCTATAAGGATGCTGCAGGTTTTTCTTCCCAAGGTGGAGAACCTTGGATTTTTCGGTGTTAAACACCATCAGGTTCTCTTCTGCCCATTTGCTGGGGCTATCCAGGTCAGCCTGGATCACCCACCTGTCTTCTGGTGTGGATGCTTTGCCCCAAAGTTTGGTGTCATCCTCCTCTGCATGAAGGAAATTTCTCTTATAGTTACAGCAAAATAATTAATTCCAATATAACTGAACTATTCTGATGCAAGTCTCTTGTGTGGACACTATTCTGAAACAAGATGGCAGGTCATTGGCAAATATATTAAATAAAGTCTATAGCACTGTGTGTTGTCTGTTTTTCTAAAATCTCCAATTTCTAGTTTTGTGGTGTGGAATTGCAAGTAAATATATTCTTCAGAGCAGCAGCTGAGTACTGTAGAACCTGGGTATTTTGTAGAGTAGGCTTTGTAGCCCTTGTGAGTATGAAGGTGTGGGAACTAGCCTGGAATTATTTTCAGCCACAGCAGACACTTGCACTTGAACCACTGAGGTCCTCCAGCTGTTTGCTGCACCTTTATTTCAAAAGGTGCAGCTTTTCTGATCTGCATGCAGGACCACTGATGAACTCCAGCTGAGTGGAGAAGCAGCACTTTTGAATTAAAAGCCTAAGCAAAAAGCTGCACAGCTTGTCCTTCACTTAGCAGCCTAATTTAAATTAAGCTGGATATGAGTAGTGTGGTTCTGCTGTATAGCAGTCTAGTATGCCAGGTAATCTCATAGATACTAGATGCTGAAGAAGGGTAGCTCCAGTGTTTTATCTTCTAATTGTTTTTCAAATTCATTCTCAATGTATTTCATCAGTGCTAGCACTTGGGACTGGTGATTTGATTTAGTTTGAAACCTACTGCCTCACTGCTCAAAAACTGTTCTGCCTTTGGCATAATTCTCTATACGATAATCAGTTCCAGGAGTTTGCAGCTACAGTACTGTGGAAATTGCTATTCCATACAGATTGTATGTAATATACATAATGAGGATATATGGAGCATGGAAAAGTCTGAGCAATGAAGCCTTGCTGTTAAGGCACTTTTTGAGATAATAACGAATGACTGTATTTTTCATGGATCTACACAGGGTAAAGGGAGGAAACGAATTTTTAAGGAATTCCATCCCTAGCTATTGATCTGGTAAGCAAGAAAAGATGCTTTACTATCTGTGCTAGCATATATATTGTTTAATTCAATTAGTAGATTACCTAGCCTAACTGCAAGTCAAATAAGTGTTCTTAAAAAGGATTTTACCTGGTTTCTGCCAAGTAACATTTTAATTTGCTGAACAAATTAATATATACTCTGGGGAACAAAAAAAGAAAAATTACATGAGGAGTTGCTGCTTACCAGATGGACAGCTCTCTCCTGTGTTCAGGAGGTGGTGGAAACAGATTCTACTGATTGTGTTGCTTGAACAAACAGTAGTTGGCTCTCTTCTCTTAATATTGAAACAAAAAAACTGTTCCACAAGTTAAAATATGACAGAATGTTTGTTTGGGTCTTTTGGTTTTTGGGGGCAGGGGTGGACTTTAAATTTTCATTTCATTTTATGGCTGTTGAGGTACATAAAATATCTCCTTTAGATTCATTTGTAACTGCTGACACATTTAAATAGGTTTTGGCAATTGTAAGGAGACACTGGTTGTAAGTGCTCTATCAGAACGGCAGACAGCTTAGTTGGCTTCTTAAGTGAGATCCTCAGTCATCCAATTTTGTTGTCATTTGCTTCACTCTTTCCCTTCCTCTTCCTGTTTCTATCTTCATCTCTAAGGTGAGCTGACTGGCAGTACTAGCCTGTGTTTTGAAAGATGAGTTTTGGAAGAAGAGACATTTATGAACTGCTTTTCTTTAAACATTTTTTTAATTTGGGGAATGTAACTACACAAATTGTAGTTAGCATTATTAATTATGACTTACAATACATTTATTTACAACACATACTCTTAAAGCATTTACTTTTGGCTGGGTACTGTCGTTTGCTTCAGAATCCGTACCCCTTCTGATTATGCTCTTCTCCTTTTGTTTTGTTTTTTTCCTAGAAGCACTTAATACAACATTTTTTAAATTTCTCAAAGGTTTTGAAGTTCAGATATTTTTGTCATTCATCAAAACAGATGAATAGGGCTGGAAGGGATCTTGGGAGGCTATCTAGTCCAAAACCCTGACTAGATTCCAGTCTAAACCATCCTAGATGAGTGTCCATCCAGCCTATTTCAAACACAAACAAGCCTCTTATGCAGCTACCAGGTGGGGTTCCCAAAAACACCAAGGACAGCAGCAGCCCACCCTTGCCCCGCGTGCATATCTGGGGGCACATGCCCCTCATGCCTTCACTGGGTGCACATAGCAATGGGAGCCC